TGGTGCCTTGTTCTTTGCCAATTCCTTCAATGCACCTTGGACTTCTTTCTTCAGTATCACTAGCTCTTGATCATATGCTACCTCTTGAAATGGTTGAACATCAACCATTTCTTTTGGGTACAGTGACTCTGTGTATTCCTTCCATCTTCTTTTGATACTTTCTGTGTCATTCAATAATTTGCCCAGAGAATCCTTCAATAAGTTGAGGCTTGAATTTTTTCTTCAGTTCCCCCAGCTTGAGAAATGCTGAGTGTGTTCTTCTCTTTTGGTTTTCTGACTTCAGATCTTTGCACATTTTCGTTGTAATATTTGACTTTATCTTCTTGAGCTGACCTTTGAAATTTTCTGTTCAGCTCTTGCACCTCCTCATTTCTTCCATTTGCTTTAGCATCTCTACACTGGAGAGCAAGCTTCAGTGTCTCCTGTGACATCCATTTTGATCTTTTCCTTCTTTCTTGTCTTCTTAATGACTTTTTGCTTTCTTCCTGTTTGATGTTCTTGATGTCATCCCACAACTCTTCTGGTCTTTGGTCTTGAGTGTTTAATGTATCAAATCTATTCTTCAGATGATCTCTAAATTCAGGTGGGATATATTCAAGGTCATACTTTGGCTCTCATGGACTTGTTTTCATTTTCTTGGGCTTCAGTTTGAATTTGCATATGAGTAATTGATGGTCTGTTCCACAGTCTGCCCTGGCCTTGTTTTCACTGATGATATGGAGTCTTTCCACCGTCATTTTCTGCAGAGGTAGTCAATTTGATTTATATGTATTCCATCTGGTTAGGTCTATGTGTATAATCGTCTCTTATGCTGTCTAAAGAAGGTATTTGAAATGAACAAATCATTGATTTTGCAGAATTCTATCATTAAAAACTCCAGCATCATTTCTATCACCAAGACCATATTTTCCAACTACTGATCCTTCCTGTTTGTTCCCAACCTTTGCATTCCAATCACCAATAATGATCAATACATCTTGATTACGTAATCCTTGAATGTGTTCCGAGTCCAACGGACTCAGAATCTTGAATGTGTTCCCATTACATACTTCCATCATTTTCAAACTTTCTTTAGTAATAACTGCCCAACACACCAAGTTGAACAAAACTAACATTTACATGTTGCTGTTAAGCGTCACATAGACCCATAGCGATCCCGTATAGGGTTTCCAAGGAGCAGCTGGTGAGCTCAAACCACCAACCCTGCAGTTCAAATCAGCTTTGCAGTCCAGCGTATTAACCCACAGCACCACACCAGGACTCCAACATTTATACACCACTTCCTATAAGCCAGGCTCAGTTTTAGCAAAAACAGATCCTAGGATCATCAGCTTTTTATAGCTGAAGAAAATTGAAGCACAAATTGTGTGACTTGCCCAAGGTCACACAGTCAGTAAGTGGTGGAGCCTGAATTTGAACCCAGAACACACATGTCTAAGAAACACTGCCTCTTGGTTGTGGCAGGAATAGGTTCATCTCCTACACCCTTGTCCTTCAACCCACATGACTCTAGAGGTATCCTGGGGAAACTCAGGACTCCATGAGCCTGGGCTGCCAGGCTGTGCCACCAGGGTGAAGCTCAGACTAACTGCTGGGCTTTTGTGTTCTTCTTGATCCAGCTCTGCCAGCATTCCCATCCTTGGCTTCTGAGCTCCCATCCTTATGTCTGGCCAAACTGGGCTGCTTGCTTTTTGCCCCCAGCTGTGCTCTCTTGCCTCCTAGCCTTGGTGTGTGCTGCTCCCTTGACCTGGAGCACTCTCCCTTACACCCACTCTTGCTATTAGGGTCTCCTCTGGGTTAAGTGCCTGCAAGGCTCGACAGCCCCCTCTGCTTCCTCTTTTCAGCTGCACTCATCACACCGAATTGCAATTACTCTTTGCAACTCTCCAGGGACCATATTTTATTCATCACTGTGTTTCTAGGACTCAGAGTAAGGCCTGGCACAGGGCAGATGCCAGGGAACAGATTGGTGATGCTGCTAAAAGGGCTCAGGGGTCAGTAGAGGGTGCCAATCCCAGCTCCTTCACTCAGCTGCTGGGCTGCTAGAGGATGGGAAGTGAGGCCACAGGAGGTGAAAACAAAGGCCTGGCAAAAGTCAGAGTGGGAAGGACTCTCGAGCACCTCTAGTTCAATCTGCCCATTCCACAGATGGGAAGCTGAGGTCGCACAGGGTGTCAGCAGCAGAGCCAGGACTCATCCCCAAGACCCTTGCAAAAGTCCCTCCTGGCACACCTGGATGCCAGGCCCATGCCCCCAGGCTTGGCAGAGGCATCCCCCAGGAAGGCAGAGGGCTTATCATGGGGCCCCAAGGCAGACAGCAGGCGGCAGGCACATGCACCTTATCCTTGGCCCATCCTGTCCCCCTCTCCAGCCCCTGAACTGGGTGGAGCGAGGAGGAGTGGAGACAGGAGGAGCAAGCGAGGAGGTACCTCGGTCTCCAGCTGGCGTGGATCCGAAAGAAACTCCGTTTATTACTAAACATCTGGCTGGAAAGTTGAGAACAAGACATGATCAGAGGTTAGTGGAGTGGGGCGGGGAATAGATGGGCAGAACACAGAGAGCTGCCAGGATGGGGTCGGCCTCCTGTGGCTGGTGGGAAAAAAGGACCCCACCCAACTCATTCTCCAGCTCCCACCTTCTCAATGCAGAGGTTCTTGAACTCTGCAAAGGGATCTTTTTAAGAAGCGTGTTAAATCTGCAGAATTCTGTGCCTCGTATCCAGGGATGCTGTGAGTTGGGGAGAGGTCTAAGTATCTGCATTTTGAACAAACGCCCCACGTGATACTGATGCAGGACGTTGGTGGACCATACTTTGAGAAACACTGCCTTGGTACTTCACCTCCAAACCCCAAAATGCCATCCCCCAGAAAGTCCTACCCCATGTAGCTCCACTTCTTGGGATGGTGCTCAGCCTGGGTCCATCCCCACGCACCACTAGATGTACATATGTAGGGAGAGAGGGGGTTCATGGATGGGACATAAGCAACCAAGATTCAGGATTTGTCATTTGTCCCCCATAAGTCATAGGTCAGTTCTCCAGAGACCTGCATGCAGTAAAGGGCCACCCTGCCCAACATATGCATGAGCCCTGAACACGCAGACGATCACAAAGTTGGGAGTTAGTGATGGCCACACCCCCAGTGCTAATCCATTCCTGGTCCTTAGAGAGCTTGGGGGATCCACAGCAACTGTGGGTAGTGGTATAGGTACCTTCTTATTGAGTCCAGGTGAGACCAGAGAGAACTGGACGCTGCTGAGAGCCCTAGCTCTGGCCCTGGGCAGAGTTGCCAGAATGCCCTTTGAGGCTTACAAACCTTTATGTGACCAGAATGGGAATAACAATGAGGGGATGCAAATAGTGATAGAGATCAAAGTGGGGACACACCATGGCCCAGAGAGCTCCCAGCCTAGCCTGGCCAGTGATGCTTACTCCCCCTCACCCCCAACTGTAACCTCCAGTCCCAGACATGGAGGGATTCTCTCTCTCTCTCCACTTCCTGTTCAGCCCCTGGCCCAGGACTGTCTTGCAGAGGGGATGCTGCTCCCAGAATCCTATTTACTGAAACTCTCTTCTTCATTCTCCAGGGCTTTTCAACCAAGAAAATCAGAGAACCCAGAGACCCTGATCTGCTCAAACGTCAATGATTGTCTGTCCAAGACAGAAGTTCAGAGCCATGTGATGACTTTCTCAGCAACACACAGGCATCAGATGGCAGAGGCAAGCTTTCGCTGCACTTTCTCCTTCTGATCACTTAGTGACGCAACTCTTCCCCTTGCCCTTGTTCTGGCCAGGGGCTCAGAATAACACATGAAGCTCAAGGCTCAGATGTTCACCTGGCTGGTTCAGGATGGTATGTAAAGATGAGACAAAACAAAGAAATGGGTGAGGGAGAAAGGAGGAATGGGGAGGGGTGGCTGAATTCTTGACCTCAAAGCCAAATCTTTCTAAGAGCAGTCACTTTCCCACAGTGTGAGTTAATGTGTTTCCCTTGTCCAAATGTGCCTGGAATCCCACTGTTTATGAACATTTGTGTGGGATAGGCATTGCTCTTTCTTTGTTCTTCTTTCAAGATGTAAAAGCTGTAGGAGAGACAGGTCAAGAGGAAAGAGACTGTTTGGAGGGGCAAAGTGTAGCTCACTGAGAGAAAGGCATTGTGGGAGAATCCCATGAGGGCACTCTGAGATGAGCAAAGCTATGGACAAGGGTTGCACAAGACAAGAGCATTAGTTACTGGTTGCGTTTACGTAGGTCCTACAGCAGTTCTTAGTCACAGAGCTCTTCCCAGCTGGCATCTTTGCCATCCCAAGAGGCAAAGTTCAGGGTGTCCACGCCCCTTCTAGAGGAACATGCTGGGGGCGGGGTTCCCTGCCCTCACACCCAGGATGGTGCCCACGATTACCTGAGCCGTAAGCACCTGTGGCCAGTGGCCTCGTCCTCTCTCCAGCTTCCCGGGAGGGATGGGGGTGCAGGGATGGAAGAGTAAGGGGATGTGGAAACAGAGAAAGAAAGACGACAATGGCGTGAATGGAGGGGTGATGGGAGAGGATGGTGTGGACATTTCTCTCACACAGACTCTTGGAGCCCCACATGACAAAAAGGTGAGGCCAGCCCGGTCCATCCAGAAAGGCCCTCAGTTTGCAGCTGTCTGGCCATCTGATGCCAACCACCCAGGCCTCATGACGAGGCCTGGCACTCCCCAGAACAGGCCCAGACACCCCCGTAGTGGCTGAAGACAGGTCTGAGAGAGGATGAAAAACAGAGAATGGAAGAGGAAGAGGAGAAGCAAGAGGAGGTGGTGGCCCTGGGGGCCCCTACCTTTCCCCAGGGCAGAAGGAAGCGCTGCCTGGCCGGTGGCAGGTGGCAACGGGCGGGTAACGGGAGGGTGCTCCATCGGGTACCGGCGCCCGCCGCACCTCCAGGGGCCGTAGGCCCCCATTGCGGGCCCGTTGCACGTGCTCAAACAAGAGGGCCAGCTCTCTGCAGGAGAGGGCGCCATTAGCGGCAGGCAGGGCCCTGGCACCACCCACCTCCCCCAGTGGGCTCTGATCTCCTGACCTCTAATTCTGCCAGGCCTGCCTCTCTAAAGGTGTGTGAAAAACACCCAGGTGGGGATAGAGGGTCTGAAAGACTGATCTTCCTCTCCCTCTCTGTACACTCAGTTCCCGTAAAATCTTCAGGGCTGCCAAATACTGTTGTGTAGGTTGGGCACAACTCAAAGGTATCCACCCACATAAACAAACCAGTTTACCCTCTGCTCATCTAACTGAGTAAGTGTCTGGATGTACCAGTGGCAGCCCTGAAATCCTTAGCTTCTGACTCTGGATTTTAGGAGGAAACTGAGGCTGAGGGGTTAGTTAACCCAGCTTCCTTTCTCTGCAGTACTCAAACCCGTCCTGGGTTCCTGGAGACTAGATCTGGGACTATAGCTCCTTCCTAACTCACCAGGCCAATATTCATTCCTACAATCCCAGGAGGGCACCTCCCCTAGCTAGAACCACTGCCTACCTTCCTATCATATGGATGAGGAAATTGAGGTCCAGTGAGCAGGAGGTCCAACGGGCTCAGAATCTTCAGACTAGGCTCTCTCTCTCCTACCAGAGACCTAGACCACCTCACTTCTAAACCTTCCCTCCCCTCACACACATCAGCTTTGTAAAGACACAGCCCCTACCCATGTCCCTAAGGCCACGCCTTGATTCCTTAGCTACTTCTAGAACCAGAGGCGTCTGCTAGTCTAAACACCATTCTGGTCTCTGAGGTGAGAGCTTGCCTCTGCCAAGACTGGGGCGGGCGTGGGGGCAGGGGAGGGGAACCAGTGGGGTGCTGCTTGGAGCTCCCCTCTTCCCAACCCTTTTTCTCCTGTTCCTCCCCTGGGCAGTCCCTGGGGCTGGGAGGAGGGGAGAGCCAGGTGTAGGAGCAAGTGAGACCACCACGTAACAGCTGCTCCTGGAGAACCAATGAGACACAAAAGGCGCTCACAGAAGCGCTGAGCACAGCAGCCTGATCCAGACGTGTGCTTGATGCCCGCCTGCCCACAGTACTGAGTCGGGCTCCATGGTCTTCATTCCTGCCCGGGGTCCTGGCCAGGCACTGGCCACACACATCTTGGTGATACTATTAATAATCTCCAGTGCGGAGCCACTCCCATGCAGTTTTATAGTGTAGCCTGGGCCAGGGGGTGAGCCCACTTCTGGGCCTGGCCCAGTAAAAGTGGGTACATATTCACCCATGGGGATGCTGGGTGGGCTTTGGCACCTGTATCCTTGGCCATGCCATACCAGCTGCAATACATCCGGCTAGTAAGGGTTCACAGTACCCCACCCATCATCAAGGGAGAAGAGCTGCTAGGCTACTGTCCTGGGAAGTATCACCCAGGGCCTGGGACTCTGCCCTAGGGGCAGGTCTTCGCTCCATGCCCCTTTCCCTGGGCCCATGAGAGCATGAGAGGATACTCCAGACTCCGAGTTATGCTGGATTGGCATTGCCAGCTCCAGATGCCCCCAGGGGAACTGTCACCCCTTTCCACCCTCCAGGACTGAGTCTCAGGCATCTGTCCTCAAGGGAATGACCACCAGCCCCCACCCACTCCCATCCCCAGCGGCCCTACCTGAAAGACGGGAGGATACTGTCATAGTAGTACCAGGTGGCGGTCAGGTAGGCCCGGCTTGTGTCAGTGGAGTACAGGCGCCATGCAGCCTGGTGGGATGTGAGAAAGGGGAGACAGCATCAGCAAGGTCTCGGAACCCCTGGCCCTGAAAGAACCCCAAACTCGGGTCAGCAGTGAGTACTCAGAGCCAGAGACCACTGCAGTTCCATTGTCACAAAAGGGCAGGCAAAGAAACCGAGAACTAGAGAGAGGAAGTGAAGACAGCCAGCATCATAGCCGGACGCCCCAGAGCACTGGGATTAAGGGCCACAGTCATGGGTCTCCATTCTCAGCTCTGCCCCTTACTAACCAAAAACCAAACCCGTTGCCATGGAGTCAATTCTGACTCCTAGCAACCCTGTAGGACAGAATAGAGCTGCCCCCATAGGGTTCCCAAGGCTGTCATCTTTACAGAAGCAGACTGCCACATCTTTCTCTCTCACAGTAGCTGATGACTTCAAACCACCAGCCTTTTGGTTAGCAGCTCAATGCTTTAACCACTGCATCACCTGCCCCTTTCTGTTGTTGTTGTGAAGTGCCATTGAGTCGGTTCTGACTCATAGCGACCCTGTATAAGGTTTCCGAGAAGCGACTGGTAGGTTTGAACCACTGACCTTGTGGCTCACAGTCCAGTACTGATCCTACAATGCCACACCAGGTGTGAGTGAACAAAGTAAAGTTTCAGAACCTCAGTCTCCTCATCTGTATAATGGAGCTAATACCATTTACCTCACAAAGTGTTGCGAGGATTAAATGGGCTAATGGCAAGGTCAAGGTGTGACACATAGTAGGCAGGTTTCCCTGTTAAACTCTTCTGCTACCTCTCTTGTTACAATCACTAGGCATCAGTTCACTGCGTATGTGCTTTATGTCTTTCCTGCCCTTGCAGACTGTAAGCTCTGTCTTGGTCCCCACGGTCTCCTCAGTGTCAAGTGCAGTGCCAGGCACGTGGTAGGTGTAAACAAATGTTTGGCTAAGTGAGCTATTATTACTAATAATAGTTCCATCCCATCTTTTCCAGTTGCCCTACAATGTCCAAGGGTGCACTGTGGGCTGAGAAGGGGAGGAAAGAGTAACACCTAGCAACCCTTTGTGGACATGGAGGCTTCCTCTGAGGGTCAGACAGCAGGAAGCTCCATCCTTCTCTCTCTAGCCATGATAAGGCCTGTGAGTGGGTGAGAGTAGGGAGATATGGAAGCTGCCAAAACAAAGCAGGACTGGGCCCTGGGTGCTCCACTTTTTTTTTTGGTGCTCTTGTTCTTAAGGAGCTGCCCACTGCTAGCCTCGTTGTCCAGGGGCCTTCCCAGGACAGGAATATTTTTACCTCCTGCTTGCCTAGGTCCCTGGCTTGGGCTAGGGAGCAGCTGCCAAAGCTGTCTCATTAATTATGGGCACCACAATACCAGCTGTCTCTCGGCATGGACAGTGCCAGCTGCCTGCCCCTACAATGCCCCTTGGAAGGCCAACTCCCAGGGGATAGTGGCCATTGTGCCCCAAGGGATGCCAAGAAGGAAAAGCTGGGCTGGTGACTGGAGATAGCAGAGACCGGGAGGGGGGTGCTGCCCTGGGGAGGGGAGATAAAGAGTTTGGATTTGGGAGGCAGAGGGTGGCATGCTGGGAGGCAAAGAGAGGTAGGTTGTGACAATGTCCCGTGGGCCATTTCCTGCAGGGCTTTCGCACACACCCTTGATTAAGAAGAAGGCAAGACTACTCACAGAGTCATCAAAACTCACCCCACACGGTTTCAGAGCACCTCACCGCACTGAGGGTAACACACCACAGGCACCTGGTTTCTCACCCACCTTCCTGCCTATTCCCTATCTGTCTCCTTGTCCAGTTCAACCTCACTGCTCAGCCACTAAACAATAGTGTTCCTAAGATGGGCCCTCTTCTCTCTTCCTTCTTCCCACTCCCCTAAGCTCATTCATGCCCAGGGCTTCATTGCCAGCGACAACAACTGCTCTGCTCAGTCTTCTCCTCTCCGCTGCTTCCTCAACATCATCGCTCAGGGTCTCAGAGGCCCTGCCAAACTCATAGTCCTCATGCCTAAATCTGAGCCTCACCCAAAGAGAAGAGCACTAAGCACCCAGGTAGGCAAACCAGAAATCTCAAGGTCACCCTGCCACCTCCCTAGCCTTTACTCCTCAAATCACTAATTTTGTTGTTGTTGTTAGGTGCTGTCGAGTCAGTTCTGACTCAGAGCGACCCTGTATACAACAGAGCAAAGCATCGTCAGGTTCTGCACTATCGACCATGCTTAGCATCATGGTCACCGTGTCAGTCTACCCCCTTGAGGGTCTGCCTTTTTTTTTTTTTTTTTTTGCTGACCTTTTCTTTACCAAGCATGATGTCCTTTCTCCAAGGACAGATCTCACGACGCCTCTGTCAGTTTATTGTACAGTGGTGACTTGCAATGTTGCTGTGATGCCGGGAGCTATCCCACTAGTATCTCAAATACCCATAGGGTCACCAGTGGTGGGCAGTTTCAACGGAACTTCCAGACTAAGACAGACTTAAGAAGAAAGATCTGGTAATCTACTTCTAAAAAAATCGGGCCACTGAAAATCTTATGAATGACAGCAGAACATTGTCACTAAGTTTACTCCCTTGATATCCAGAGCCTGCCCCTTCTTTCCATGTCCTCTACTGTTACCTGCAAGTCACCCAGTAGCCCCACCTCACCTGGACAGCTGCCAAAGCCTCTTTTCCTGGCTTCCGCCATTCACCGGGGTCACCTCCAATCCATTCACATCTTTTCAAAACATAAATCTGATCACAATACCTACTCCCCTACATCATACCTGCCAACAGTTTTCTATTGCTCTTAGGAAAAAGTTAAACTCCTCTCTATGGACCTCAAACCTGAGTCCTGCCCACCTACCCAACCCTGCTTCCAGCCTCCCTGGTTTCCTCAAAGTTCATCAAACATGCCATGCATCACAGGACACTTGCACAAGCTGTTCCCTCTGCTGTGAAGAGTTCTGGTCCAAGTCCCATCCCATTTCAAGCCATGTGGAGTTGAGGCTGGAAATGACCAAGGAGACAGCTCTAATTGGTCCTCAACTAGGCATTTCATGAGGAAAAAGTTTCTGACAGTCTCCGATGGCATCCCAGCTCTGCTCCTGACTTGCTGTGTGACCCCAGAAAAATGACATCTCTTCTCTAAGCTCCAACGTGGAGTCATAGGTATGAAACTGGGACAATAAACCAATACACAGTTCAGGTACAGAGCCCTGCTCTAGAGGGCTTCCTAGGAATCTTGTACCTGGATGAGGTTGGCCGCTGGCATCCTCCGCTTCTCAAAGTGCTTCTGTCGGTGCTGTTCCTGGACCTTCAGGGCAAATCCAGAGCCTAGGATACCCTAAGAGGTAAGGGCATGGTTGGGGGAATACAGGGTGACAAGAGGTTTCCAGGGCATTCCATCCCTGCCCATCTGAGGTGCAGGCTGCTGACGTGCCCATATGAGCATGAACTCAGCATACCCCACCCCCAAACCCCTCCCAAGGTCTAGTCATCCTCAAAGGAGGGGAATAAAGGAAGGGGAACTCACGGCAGGCAGGGCGAAGAAGGAGATGCCCAGTAAGGCAAAGCCGGCAGCTAGGACCCTGCCCAGCCACGTGTGCGGTGTCTTGTCACCATAACCAATGGTTGTCAGAGTAATCTGGGGACACAAATGCATTACCCACAGGGACTGGTCAGGGAGGTTACACACATGAACTGGTTGGGGGCACAGGCAAAGGGGCATAGGGGCCACTCACAGGGGTTGCCTATAGAGTTGTCATGGGGGCTGGTTAAGGCATAGGCAGATTCCCCTAGTGCTGGTTGGAGGAATGAGTAGGGATCCCAAGAGTTTGACATGGGGGTTTAGGTGGGCACCTGAACAGGTCCACTGGGGCAGGCTGAGGGCTAGCCTGGGGTGTCCCAAGGGGCCAGTCACAGGGGGCCCTATACTGAGGACAGAGGCAGGCTTGCTCAACCTGGAGTCAGAGATCACAATGGGCAGGCAGACTTCAGGAAGTTGGGGAGGGGTCCCAGGAGAATGGCTGCCTTGCACAGACCCTCACGCACCGTGCCCCACCAGAGTGAGTCAGCGTAAGAAGAGAAGTCAGAGTTGGCGTCTTTCTCGGCCAGATAGACCAGGAAGGAGGCGAAGATGAGCACCAGGAACCCAATGTACCAGGCGGTGATCAGCTCCTGCAGAGGCAACAATGTGGGAGGGAAGAAAGGGTCCCAAGCCCCAAACAGGAGGGTGGCGCCCAGAGTGGCCTCCAGAAGTGTTCTGGGGAGGGGGGTAACTCCAGTGTTCTGGAGTTTTTCTAGGACTTCCTTGGCGGCGGCATTGCTCACCTTCCTATTTTCAGCTTCTTCCTGCAAGGAGACCCTGCCCTGCCTTCTCCAAAAAGCCAACCAAAAAAACAACCCCTGGCTATCGAGTTGATTCCAATTCATAGTGACCCCTATAGGAGAGAGTAGAAATGCCCTATAGGGTTTCCAAGGTTGTAACGCTTTACCGAAGCAGACCCACACAGCTTTCTTCCGAGGAGCAGCTAGTGGATTTCAACCGCTGACTTCAGTGAGAAGATCAGCACTTAGCCACTGTGCCATCAGGGTTTTACCTCAAAAAGCCCAGGCCCCCACAAAGTCTCAGGGCACACCTTCAGCCCTGTCCTTGGTCCCACTCTCAGGCTTCCCACCCCAAAACTGCATCTAGCCTTGTTTCCTAAGGCCCACTTTCAGACTTAGATCCTGGTGCCACATCTCATCCCGCCCAGCCCCAACGTGGAAACTTCCAAGTGAGCCCTTGAAACCCCACCCCTCAGGCACCGCCTCCTGGCCTGATCCGGATCCTTCAGGTTCCCCTTACAGGCTTCCTTAGGTCCCGCCTCTTACTCCCCGCCTCTCTCCCCAGCCCTACATATGTTGTTGTTGTTGTTGTTGTTGTTGTTGTTATGTGCCGTGGAGTCGGAACCGACTCATAGCGACCCTGTACAGGGTTTCCGAGGGTGTAAATCTGTACGGGAGTAGAAAGCCTCATCTTTCTCCCGCGGAGCAGCTGGTAGTTTCGAACTGCTGACCTTGCGGTTCACAGCCCGAGTCGTAACCACTACGCTACCAGAGCTCCTTAGCCCTACATATAGCCCTCCTGATTTCAGCCCCCTGTTCTGTCGGTAGGCTTCCTCCACCACCTGGGGCTGCTCTACGCAAGCCCCTCCGAGCCTCACCTTGCTGTGCGCGTAGACCACTGAGCCCAACAGCTTCCAAGTGCCACCGCGGCGGTCCATGCGCACCATGCGTAGGATCTGCAGGAAGCGCATGCTTCGCAACGCAGACGTAGCAAAGATGTTGCCCTGGGTGCCGGCGGCGATGACGGCCACCGAGGCCACGAACACGATAAAGTCTGCAAAGGCGAGGAAGGCATGGTCACAGCCAACGCCAGGGAGCCAACCCACCCCGCGTCCGGACCCGGGACCAGGGATTCCTGGAACCTTGGGATAGTCGGTGGGGCTCAGGAATGGGGTCAGTGTCGACCCTAGGGCTTGGGATCAGGGGTCAGGCGCGGGTGGGCGGCCCTCATTACCGATGACACAGAAGGGTTTTCTGGCAAAGCGGAAGCGGCCCTGCCATCCTCGGTAACGGCAGCAGCATCCAGCTGACCAGACGCGGATGATGTACTCAAGGCCAAACACCACGATCATCACAAACTCCTGTGGGACCAGGGGCCTGAGATCTGGTCCCCGCTTTCAGGGACCGGGGGCACAGAACATAGCACCAACCCAACCCGGAGTCCCTGAGTTTGGGGGACCAGGACCATGTGTCCTCAGATCATCTGGATGGAACTGGGGATGACACCTGAAAGTGGTCCTTTCCATGTCCTGCAAGGATATTCCCTTTCACAGCCCCCATGTGCTGTCTGGACTTTTCTGCCCCTCATCCCCTTTCCCCTTCTCAGCCATCCCAGACTCTAACCCTGACTGGGTGACACAAGGGATGACTGACTGTGTGAGGTTTTCCTGTTCAGGCAAAACAAAACGAAGTCCACCAGGGATGGAGTCAGTAGTTTTTGTCCTAAGAAGAGATAGGGCTGACTCACCTATTTTCTTCTGGCGACCATAATAAGCCCTTACCTAGAGGTAGAAGTCCCCCCAACACCTAAGGCTGGGATGAAGCCCAGAGAGGAGCAGCACACTGTCTGAGCCATGGTTTGAGGAACCTCTCTCCACCTTTAGCCCTCAGCCCAGAGGTGTGACCTCACAGTTTCCCTCAGACCGGGCTTCTGAAACTCACCAAGATGAGGAGACACTCATTGGCAAATTCCTGGTGCTCCTGGATGGTGGACAGCACGGACAGCACCAGGCAGCTGAAGACCAGCAAAAATCTGTAAATGCAGCAAGTAGAAAAGGGTTAGACTGCTGGATGGACAGGACTGCTGAGAAGCCTCTGGCAGGGGCCTGCAGAGAAGGGAAGCAGCCTGCAGGCTGGCTGCTCAGGCTGTACCTGGGGTAGGAATGGGGCATGAGAATTATTTGGAAAACGGAATCAAATCAAAGTTCCCAGGAATCTGGAAACCAAGGGCAGAAACCTCCAGGCCTCATTCTGCCAAATTCACAAACACTTACCAACCCCAAATTTGGTGCTGTGGAGTCAGTTCTGACTCAGGATGACACTGAAGGACAGACTAGAACAACCTCACAGGGATTCCAAGGTTGTAGCCTTTATGGAAGAGACTGCCACCTCTTTATCCCACAGAGCACCAATGAGTTTGAACTGCCAACTTTTAGCTTAGCAGTTCAGCACTTAACCACCATGCCACCGGGGCTCCTTCACAAACACCTCTTCACTGCCCCTTAATACCAACTGCAGTTAGAGAGGTAGTGACTCAGCTGTGAGCATTAGGTCTGTCTTGGCTGGCAAAAGGAAGAGACTAGCTCAGGGTTTCAAAGTCAGGAAACTCCTCAGGTTCTGGGTGTCCTTAAAGAAGTGCCCCAGAAGTCAGGAAGGGCCGGGGAAGGTCAGTGGCTAGGGCTCTGCTATGAATTCCACTGTGGACTTTAGTAGTTTGGGTTCATCTGCAGAATGGGGACAACTACTACCCACGCCTTCCTGGGTTCTTAGGGAATTTAATCACAAAACAGCTATGAAAGGAAAGGAGTGAACTGTTTTGCTCACATAGTAGGGAGTGAAGAAGGCAGATAGGGAAAGGATGTGAAGAGAGGAACAGAGAGGGCATCACAGAGCTGGGCCATCCAGGCCTGAAACTCCCTTCAGGGTGGTGGGAATGGGAATGGTCCAGACCCAGATGTTTAGAAATAGAAGACACTTTAGAACCTGACTAGTCAAATACTTCACTCAGCCCCACTTCCACATATGGAGAAACTGAGGGCCAGAGAGGGAAGGAATGCATCCAAGGATTCCCAGCTTTTTAACAGATGGGAAGGGGCGAGAGAATGAGGAGAGAGCCTTGGAAAGTATGTGAGTAGGTCAGGACATGAGGGACAATGGGACTCAAGGTCACAGGCTCTATGGTGTCACTAGTGTCATGTGTCACCCCACCCCCACCATAGACGTCATCCTAGTAGACCATACAGAATCCTTGTTGTTACTACTGTTAGGTACCATCAAGCTGGTCCTGACTCATAGTGACCCTGTATTAGGTTTTCTGAGGAGCGGCTGGTGGGTTTGAACTGCACATCTTGTGGTTAGCAGTCCAGTGCTTATCCTATAGTGCCACATCAGGACCCTCAGTAATGTTTCTTACCCATTTTAATCATAGAATAATATGTGATAAGGAATCTTGGTGTGGCTTTGTTGCATAAACACAGGACTGCTAACCACAAGGTCGGCAGTTCATACCCACCACTGCTCCTGGGAAAACCTATATAGAGTGGCTATGAGTCAGAGCCAACTCAGCAGCACTTAACCACAACAACAAGTGATAAATATAGAGCTGATGCCTTTTTAAATTATGATATTGGCAAAGAATATTGGATATACGATGGACTGCCAGAAAAATGAACAAATCTGTCTTGGATGAAGTACAACCAGAATGCTCCTTAGAAGCGAGAATGGCAAGATTTCATCTCATGTACTTTGGACATGTTGTCAGGAAGAATCAGTCTCTGGAGAAGGGTATTAAGCTTGGTAGAGGGTCAGCGAAAAAGCAGAAGCCCCTCAACAAGATGGACTGACCCACTGGCTGTAACAGGACTCAGATTCAGCAAAGATTGGGAGGCTGGTACAGAGTCCAGCAGTGGTTTGCATTGTGTTGTACACAGAGTCTCTATGAGTTGGAACCTACTCAATAAAATCTTGCTACATTGAAATGCAACACTATTAGTTACAACGCTATTAGAAACCGAATAGAAGCCTTTTTAAGTTTTCTCTCCTTTTCCTTTAATCACTACTTCATTCTCACAAGTCATTAATACAGGTTCACAAATACTAATTACCACAATATTGTAGTTGCTGTTGTTAAGTGCTGTCGAGTCCATTCCAACTCACAGTGACCCTGTATGAGGTTTCTAATGCTGTAAATCTTTACAGAAGCAGAAAGCCTCATCCTTCTCCAGCTCCTGACTCGTGATGTTGTTGTTAAATGCTGTTGAGTCGATTCTGACTCATAGGGACCCTGCATAGGGTTTCAGGTAGCAGCAGGTGGGTTTGAACTGCTCACTTTGTGGTTTGCAGTCCAGTGCTGATCTTACAGCACCAAACCAGAACAGGGAGTTCAAACTCACCAGTGACTCCTCAGAAACCCTATACGGAACGGGCTCAATGGCACGCAACAACAACAATAGGGTTTCTGAAGAGCAGCTACTGGGTTTGAATCACTGACCTTGCAATTAGCAATCCAATGCTTATCCTACAGCACCACACCAGGACTAGCTAAAATGTCAGAAAACTTGACAAAACCAGTGGCTATAATAAAATCACCAGCAGCCACAAGAAAGCATTAGCATGTACTTGTAGAATGTGCAGATGAAACCAGGTGACTAGAAGCATCATTATAATTAGGTAATGATGACAGCTCTGGCCAGAGAGCTTAGGAAATTCAAGAAGTAAATTAGCATAGTGGTTATGTGCTGTGGAGTCGGTTCCGACTCATAGCGACCCTGTACAGGGTTTCTGAGGCTGTAAATCTTTACGGGAGCAGAAAGATTTTCTCCCACGGAACACCTGGTAGTTTCGAACTGCTGAACTTCAGGTTAGCAGCCTGATTTGTAATCACTACGCTACCAGAGCTCCTTTAGGTATATTGATATATGTAAGCTGGGTTAACAAAAAATATTTTTGTTGCTATAACTAACTACATGGATATTTTCATTTTAAAAAATGATAAATTTCTGCTGAAAAACGACACACAAAAATGTGTAGGCAGTGATTTTAGTGTCACCGCCTCTGACAGTGTCACCCTGTGCCATCCACACCCCTCACACCCTCCTAGTGATGCCACTGCCCAGGCTGCAAATACAGCAATAGGGAATGAGGTTAGACTCCAAGAAGCAGGCCACTGCATACGCACATGCCTAGAAAGGACCCCTAAGAGCATGGGCTTCAATGGAAAGAAATTTCTATGGACCGACCAACCAACTTTCTCCAAATGTTTCCAAGGTCTCTTGGCCTCTGACACTGCATTCTACCTAAAGCACTCTCCTTCACTGTCTGTCTTGCTGAGACCTACTCACCCATAGTTGTTAAGTGCTGTTGAATCGGTTCCAACTCATAGTGAGCCTATATAGGGTATCCAAGGAGCAGCTGGGGGGTTTGAATTGCTGACCTTGTAGTTTGAAGTCCAGTGCTGATCCTACAGCAGCACGTAGTCCAGTGCTTATTCTACACACATCAGGACTTCCCTTTACCCTGACCCAAATATCACTTCCTCATGGGAGCCCTCGGTGATCCCCTACTCCCTCATTCTCACCCCCATTCCTATTTCCCAACGATTGCCTTCCTTGCATGTGGCCCTAGTCACATTCTATATGCTTTTATTTGTGCTCATGTGTCAAGGTGGTAGGAGCATGGGTTCAGAGTCAGAGAGATGTAGGTTCGAATCCCAGTTCTGCTTCTTTGTTGCTTTAAAAAAAGTCACCTAGCCTCTCTCAGAGCCAGTCTCTGCATCTGTGAGATGGGGTGTTGGTGGGAGGGAAAGCATGGAAAGGGCTTGGCTCTGCCTGGTCCACTCAGAACTCCCTGGAGGTGGCTCTGGCCTTATTGGAGGGCAGGATCTGGGGTTGCATCCCTGCACATGCCCTGTATTGAAGAGGTCGCTGTTATAGACTAAACTGTGTCTCCCAAAAATATGTGCTGGAATACTAACCCCTGTATTTGTGGATTTAATCCCATTTGCGAATAGGATTTTCTTTGGTAGTTTAATGAGGTCATGTCAATATAAAACCCACTGTCGTGACATTGATTCTGACTCAGGGTTACTATGATAAAGTAAACTGCCCCATAGGGTTTCTGTAAATCTTTACAGAAGCAGACTGTCAGTCACATCTTTCTCCCTCCAAGCGGCTGCTGGGTTCAAACTGCCAACATTTCTGTTGGCAGCTGAGCACTTACCCACTATACTACCAAGGCTCCTAATATGAATATGTTGTTAAGTGCTGTTGAGTCAGTTTCAGCTGATAGTGACCCTGTATAGGGCTTCCCAGGAGCAGCTGGTGAGTTGGAACTGCTGACTTTGTGATTCAAACCGACCTTGCGTTCAAGTTCTTATCCTAGAGCGTCACACCAAGACTCCTGTATGAATACGTTGTGGTTGAGTGCCGTCGAGTTGGTTCCAACTCATAGCGACCTTGTATAGAGTTTCCAAGGAGCAGCTGGTGGGATGGAACCACCGACGCTGTGGTTCAAACTGCCCTTGTGGTCCAGTGCTTATCCTATCGCACCATACCAACACTCCTATATGAATATTGTTGTTGTGACGTGCCATTGAGTCAGGTACAATCACAATGAACTCTTAACAGTCACAACTCCATCATCCGATTAGCACCGTTTCCCACCTTCTCTTACCAGACCCAGTGGGGAAAAAACTTTATTTAGTGGGAGTTACAAAGGCGGTGGCTAGAAGAGTTATATGAAGTAAATCACTGCAGGGTAAATGACCTTGCGGTTCAAACCAAACTTATGACAGAGTCCTTATCCTACAGCACCACAATAAATTAGTATGTTGTTGTTGTTGTTATGTGCCGTGGAGTCAGTTCCGACTCATAGCGATCCTGTACAGGGTTTCCGAGGCTGTAAATCTTTACAGGAGCAGAAAGCCTCATCTTTCTCCCGTGGAACAGCTGGTAGCTTCGAACTGTTGACCTTGTGGTTTGCAGCCCGATTCATAACCGCTATGCTACCAGAGCTCCTTAATATAGTGTGTCTTTA